TTGTGACCTCTGTTCCTAGCCAAAAAGCCAGGGAAATATTATTTTGTACATTTTTTTATTGTCATTTCCTAGCTTAAAAAGGGCCGGGAAAGTAGTTTTGTTTCTTCGCATCCTTAATTTATTTGTATTGCTAAGTTCACTAAGCCACTGCTTAGGAACTCAGCAGTTATTAAAAAAATCTAAAAAAAATCATCGTATTTTTGTGTTTTATTGCATATTTATTTTTATTTCTTCGTCTTTATTTGTGCATTGAATTCGTCTGTAATCCTATTGAAAACAAACTTCCAAATTATTGGCTAGCTTTTCCCAAAACAATCAATTTTTCTTGTGTGTAACTCATCAAGTCGTTTTTTTTGAATCCAAAAAAGTGGCGGCAAACCTAGTCCCAGTACAAAGACGAGGAATGGCTGAAGAAGAACTGCCAAGAACTCCAAAAGAGTTGCGCAATGAAATCAAATATATAGTGGACCTTGGCTTGAAGTTCAGCGGAAACACCGGAACAACATTCTCGGACTTCTTAAGGACCCTATTTGAGCAAACCAAGCCGGTAGGGATAAGCTGGGAGGCAGTGAAACGGGCGCTACCTTTTCTGCTTCACGGGGAAGCAAAAGGGTACTATGACTTAATGCTAGCTCAGAACCATGATGATCTAAGAGAGGTAATCAGGACTTTGAGCAGCGTTTTCAACACGCCGAGCGTGGGATTAGAACTGCAAAAGAATTTGCACCTGAAGAGGCAAGGGCACCAAGAATCTCTTGGGGAATTCATTGCTAAGGTCAAGAGGGCGACCGAACAACTGAACCCGGACCGAGTGGACCAAGAGATACGCGATGCGTTATTGGAGAGAACCTGGCCGGAGATCGGAGCGGCACTTGGGCAGAAGCGATTCCACGAAATGACGACAACACAACTATACGAATTGGCCAAAAAGGCCGAAGACAAAATTAAACTGAAGCGGGCAGCGGAGCAGAAAAAAAGACTCCATTGATGAGATAATCGCAGCCATCGAGGAGGACGAGTCGAAATCTACCAGGCCCCAGAAGCACAACTACAAAACGACTCCACAGCACAACAACCGTTACCAGAACAACTACAATCAGCGCAACAACTTTCAACCGAACACGCAGCGGAGCGGCACACACAATAATTTTCAGAATCCACACTACAACCAACAGAACTTCAATCAAAACAACAACTTTCAACCGAACACTCAGTGGAGCGGCACACACAATAATTTTCAGAATCCACACTACAACCAACAAAACTTCAATCAAAACAACCAGCGACCATTCAAAAAACATTACAAAACTAATTTCCAGACGAACTCTTTTCAAAACAATACGCAATTCCACCCGAATAACCGACAATTCACACCAATGCTTCAAAATCAACCGACGAGGAGTTTCGTACAATGTTTTTACTGCCAGAAGATGGGGCACAAGGCCGTAGAATGCCGCGCCAAACAACGACATGAACAACAACAGCAACAAGGACAAATTCCCAGAACCAACAGCGTCGAAGAAGAGAGAGAAACACAAGCCAGACCGATAGGAATGCACTCGATTCTCCGAGGCTATCCTTTCATTACTTTGCTTAGCATTATGTGCCTGCTTTGCAATTCGGTAGCGGCAAGCACCATGACAACGGAAGCGCTGTTCTGTCCACAAGGAAATGAGAATATCCCTGTGAGAATTCCCAATGTCCATCCATGCAGCACTATACGACAGAATAGCCTTTATACCAACATCACAATCCTGCAACGAGTCCCCCAAGAGACGCACCATGTCGCGTGGTTATGCAAGCGAGTTCGAACAACCAAATGCGTCAACTACTATTTTTTTAAAGGGGAAACCACATTCACTGAACAGAATTTCTTGGAACCGAATGAACAAGATTGCGACGGACTTGCAGATCGCATAAAGCAAGGCGATGACGGATGGCTTGAGTCAGATGGGTGGTCCCATGGACCAGTTGAAGAACCGGAAGATTCCCGGAATTATTTTTTTCAAACTATTTGTTATAATGCCACTTGGCATCTGTTTAAAAAGGGAACAGTTATATCTGATGAATACGAACTGGAGTCGAAGCTGCTTGAAGATCATAGCTGCATTTCGACACCGAAAATCCAGGAGGATGTCGAAAAATGCCGCTCTTACCAGTCGTTTCTCTATTGGATTACGGAACCGTATCGTGCCGATTTGGAGAAAAATGTCACCTTGTATGAAGGCGCTGCTTATATCACCGCGGAGGAAGTGCTAGTACCAGAAAGTAGTATCAATTTAAAAATTGATAACTCCAGAAAGGCGGATGATGACGAGGACGGATTGAAATGGTTCCATACCATAGATTCCAATACCTATTTTGGCTTCAAAACAACGGTAGATGTAGTGGAAGAATTGTTCGAGGCACGACAGGATCTTGTGGCTGATCTGAACATTCACAACGCAAGGCTCAAGCGCACGCCAGGCACAATTCAGATCGAGGATGAGCATGCGCGTAGTATCTACAAAAACTTCGCTCGGAAAGAACGAGAAGCCGGCAGACACAAAAGAAATGTAAACGAAGATGAGGATGAGCTATTTCACAAATATGCATTCCCCTCCCGGAAAAACTCGATTTCCAAGGACTGGCGAAGATGAAAAGGAAGAATATACCGGATGGGACACATTGGCAAATCTGATCCAGGCACAAGTGAATGAACAACGGCGAACTGCAGAAAATTTGCGATGCTTGAATCACAACAACGAGATCCAACTAATCCAATCGGTGGCGAGGCTCGACCCTTCACAGGCTGCTCGGCTAATTCTCAAGAATCCAGCCACGACAGCAAAATGGGCCGGAGATTTGTTGCTGGCTAGCCCATGCACAAAAATTTCGGTCGAAATAATGCCGACCAGAAAAATCGGCAGCGTTTGTTTTGAGGAGGTGATCACGAATTTCAATGGGTCTACTTGGTTTTTACAACCCGGAACCCGAGAAATCAGTGATTCAGGAAACCCAATTTCCTGCGAGAATCTCCCACCAATTTTCTTTGAAAATAAAAATCAAACCTATCGGATTGAAGAAGGACACATAAGCAAAGTCTCGATCCCGACACATCATTTCACACAGCTTGTCGCATCGGGTGCGGAAATCTTCCAAATATCCCAACTTCTTTCTGATTTGAAGCGGCCAAGATCAGATGTAACCGCAATCAGGAATCTCCAAAAACGGATCGAAATGATTGAGATCGCTAGCAATCGGATTGCCTTCGAGGGCAACAATAAATTAATGTCAGAATACATGCGTGAAGAATTAGAAAAAAGACAAAACCCAAAAAATGAATCCGAATCCTGGGTTTCAGAAACGCTACATACTCTCAAGGAAGGAGCCCAAACCGTGGTATCAACTATTGGAAACGCAGGGACGAGTATTCAAAATCGAGCTGAAGGTCTTCTAGACAAGGTGATACAAAAGATTCTTGATACCTTGCTACAATTCCTTCTGTATATTCTATTGCCCTTGCTTGGCATTCTACTGATTATTCTAATTTTCTATATTGCTGGAAGAATCTGGTGGCACAGACTCAAATCGAAACAGAAGGCTTCACTAATCGCAAAACAGATGCGAAACATGACCCATGGGGACCTGGAGAAGCAAGAAAAGCCTGCACCACCCAAACGACCCCCACCGCCGAGAATCAACGCGATTGAACTGGAACCAACGAATAGCTCGTCAACGATATTCACAGGCGATTCTTTTGAGGCCAATTCTAGAACAGGATTTCTAATACCAAAAATCTATTGAAAATAAATGTTTTATTTGACCTATTATTTTTTTTTACACACTGAAATAAAATCAAATCAATCCTCCAAACTCCATAAACTATGGAACGGACCCTATCAAATCTTAAAATTAATTTCCTCAAAGGCGGAAATCGAACCGCTCAACGGGAATAGAAAAACAACAATACATCTAAATCACATTTTTTTTAGGAGATTACAGCAGGACCCTGCTAGCTTTAGGAGATGCTCAGGATAAGCCCCACCAACCAGAACCTCACCAGGAGGAATTTCATCCAACACCCACCAGGCGCTCAGACAGACTAATAGCAAAGAAAACAAACACATTAATGAAAACAACACACATTACTTCATTATTTTTTTTGCATTCACAACAAAACAAAATCAACTTTCGAAACAACCTAAAAATATATAACCTCTAACTACAGAGAACCGAGGAAAACTACAGACAAACGAAAATAATTAAAATCACCCATAAAAATCCATTTTTTTTGTAGAAAACAGCACTTCCCCCATCTGAGCCAATGGTAGACGAGCCCAACAAAATCTATGCCGTAGACGAGCCTGAACCATGCCCGATACTGTAGATGAGCCATGAACCCAGCCCAATGTTGCCGATGAGCCAAATGCACGCCAAATCTTTATGCCGCGAAACCCCCGTCAACTATTTCCGAAACAAAAACCACCAACCAGAATGATCTGTAATCTTCAAATTCGTGTTCAAATTCTTTTTCGATGATATTTTATCTTTGAGACTTCCCAAACCACCATCTATTGTCGATCTGTATTTTCTGTTATTAAAAATGATAATTGCACATTTTTTTTCTTGTAAATCTATCTATGATCCAAAATGAAATTGTTTTTCTCTCATTTATTTTCGAAAATTATCGCCATTTTCCCCCTCCAAACATTTTCATGCCTAAAAATTGTATTTAAAATATGCCCTAAAAATGTCATTTTCCAAATAATTTTGTATCTTTCTCATTCTCAACACTCACCTTATTTTTTATGTGTATCCATTACTTATTTTTTATGAAGTTGCGGGACGCAACTTACTTGGAGAGGGGACATGTCCTATATGATAGGGGAGAGGCACGCCCACTCGGGGGGAACAGGCCCCGGGAGGACCCCTGCGGGGGCCTCCCCACTTCTTGCCCAGTCTTGACCTAGTCTAGGAACGGTACGCTAGCTCTAAGCTTTACCTAGAAAACCCAGAGGAGGGACCGGAGGCCGAAGGGCCGATGGTCCTGAATCTTTTGGATTGACTTTTAGATCTTTATGATCTCTTATTTTAAATTATTGGGCCTGAGTCTCCGTGTTGCCTGGCATCCTTTCCCGGGCTCTTATCTCTTTCCTTAAAAACCCTTTGCACATTTTGCTCTTATGGAATGCTAAATAAACTAAGAAAAACCCCATACCGTAAGCTTCACTTTTACAGTCAATTACATCGAAAGCGCCATCAGGCCACTTATCCACACATTAATGTTTGTCTTCTCCTTCAGCTTCCCGAAACTAGTCTAGGGTGCCAATTTACCATTAAATGGGTTAAGTTATTAATAGACGTAGTTAATTACAGAGATGCAACCTTAGCACGGAGGTCAGATAAGTTCAGTATAGTTAGTATGCGGACTTAGAAGGTAAATCGTAGTTACCCAAATGGGAATATCGTAATCTAGCAGTGATCCCTCATAGAGAAATCACCTAGATTATGACAGCGGATAGAATTAGTAGTACGAACCCCGGGCTACAATCAAACCAAAGCACAACCCTAGACCTGTTTCCACGATAAAAACCAGATTTTTCCGGATTATTTGAATTTTCCGAACATTTTAAAGCATGAAATTTGTGTTTTTGCAAAAAATTTTTGGGTTTCCGGACGTTCCAGCGTCTTAAATCCGACATTTTTTCGGGTTTCCGGATTTTCCGAACTTTCCAAAGCCTAAAATCTGTGCTTTCGACAAAAAAAACTATCCAAAACGAACCCCGGAACCGTTCGTGCAGCTAAAAAAAATGTTAAATTTGGGCACTGCTAATTGGGACCGGCAAGCAGAGGTCCCTGGGGGAATATAACGAAACTGGCAAAAAGCCAATTTCCGATGCGATTGGATGTTAAAAATGCTGTAATTGGGCCCGGTAAAATATCGAATTCTTTTTTTTTGCGAGCACGATTTTTTGAACAAGTTTCATTTCTGCAAGGGCAGCTACAGGAATCTTTGAATCTTTGAAGAAGGGAGTGAACTGCTTGCTGATTGGGTAAAAGTTAAAAATCTCTGAAAGTTTCCGGTTTCAGCTATACGAGCGACTTGGCGCAGGGCAGCAGCAGAAAGAACGTAAAAAAACTTCATCACATTATTCATGTGTATTTTTAGCTAATTAAGCTATATCAAAGCCTAAGCCGAACCCCAAAGCCATGCTCAACTCAAAGGTGAGTCTAACAAGGATACCTCCCCAGCTCGAAGTTCAACTTCGGTTAGCTATATAGCGTATCAGATGCAGTTTTTCGCGCTGATCACGATCCCGATATTTATTTTTGCCCAAATCCATAGGAACACCATGAAAAATAATTTTAAACATTGTGTATTTTTTGCCTAGCTGGCGTGATCCGCCCTACGGGCTTCAAAGCCTCTTTCCAGAGCGGGCATCCATCGGTGGCATGGTGCAGTCGGCAAGTACTTAGTCTACCAATCTAGGGGTCACTAGTTCGAGTCTTGCCGCTGAAAGCTATTTTGCTTTTTGGATAAAACTTGCTGTGAAGGCCATATGGACGCCCAGTAAAAAAATTTCTAGTTCTTTTTGGCCCATATGTCGCCAATTGAAGTATTTTTTGGCAACAACACAGCATTAATCTCATAATGATTATCAGTAATTGTACCATTAGAAATTCTCCTTCCTACCCCGGAGCGATAAAGCTACATAAAAATCGAGCGTAACCAAAGTCTAATAATTCCTTGTCGGAAACTCAAAACATTTTTGAGCAAGCACTACAATTAATGATGATGATTGACACATCGATAATTCGAAATGTCGTTCACCAGAAAGAGTAAAACTAAACGTAAAATCCCAAGCGCACCGACCAACCGATGCAAAACCGATAAAAAATTTTTTACTGGGCGTCCATATGGCCTTCACAGCAAGTTTTATCCAAAAAGCAAAAAAGGCTTCAGCGGCAAGACTCGAACTAGTGACCCCTAGATTGGTGGACCAAGTACTTGCCGACTACACCATGCCACCGATGGATGCCTCCCTCTGGAAAGAGGCTTTGAAGCCCGTAGGGCGGATCACGTCCAGCTAGGCAAAAAAATACACAATGTTTAAAATGATTTTTCATGGTGTTCCTATGGATTTGGTCAAAAATAAATATCGGGATCGTGATCAGCGCGAAAAACTGCATCTGATACGCTATCTAGCTAACCGAAGTTGAACTTCGAGCTGGGGAGGTATCCTTGTAAGCCCCAAAACCAAGCCAAGCCTAAGCCCAAGCCTAAGCTTAGGCCGCACTCAGGCCGGCCCGATCCTTGATCCCCTTATTTCGCGGACAGAAATCACCACAACCCGCGCAAACAATTTTTTCCAGAAAGTCATGTCGCGGCACTTCTGGAGACTGGAATTTCGGGACAATGAGGAAGTGATTTTCCGGGCGCCGCACTGCTCAAGCCGTCCTCCTTCGTCCTCAGATCCCTTATCCGGGCAGCGGCCGTAAAAAGGTGAGGGTGGAGGGAGGGGAGGAGGGGGAGGATCAAGTCCGATCCTTCAGATCCCCGGAGGGCGCGGGCAACCGAGAGCTCCTCCCGAGGGGGGTGTCCGTATTTTCAGGTTGGACGTACGGAACGAAAAGAGGATTGACATGAGAAACG